TTTTCCCGTCTTTCCGCCTGTGCTGGCCCCATCCTGACTTCTGGTGTCCCGCAAACGGGTAAAGTATTGTACGGCAAAATCCACCAGGTCTGACGGCCTTTGTCGGAGCACCTCCACAGTGTAGCCCTGCAGCAGTTCTGTCAACCCAACCGGTATCTCAATACTCATGGCTGTGTGTGGCTTGATGTACTATCTAAAAGAGAAGAGAATATTTGTCACAACTGATCTTGGTACAGAATCATAATTGTGTTTAAGTGCAGGGCTGTGCTGTTGCCTATTTGCTGATTTACACAGCTGTGGCTTACTATAGACTACTATAAACGTGTGCATGACTTGTGAATGCTAAGTGACTGATGAAACCTATACAAATGAGAAAACTGATTAACTGAGTAGTTTGACAGCTACAGTCATTTATAACCAAGATAGTGTAATGTCATGTGAACTCTGCATGACATTGACAAGTTTATCTTTGGTTCAGCTCAGGAACACACAGTTCCCACAGCTGCACGTAATAGATATGAGCCTTGTGTTTTGTAAAGGGGCGATAAAATCTGGGTTTCACTAATATTCAGGTTTCGTGTCGTCAGAAGCTGAGCTGTCAATCTGAGTGGGTAGCCGGCAGGAATTAGCTAGCAAAGGGGCTAATAAGCTCCCACTCATGACAACTAGCTGGTACACGGTGCTGTTCAAGCCACACATCCAACTTGTCTAAACTCCTCTATTTAACTGAGCCTTAGTTAAAACGGAACGAGTGAAGAAAGCGTAGTCGAGATGTGTTTCAAGCACATTTTCACTTTCGAACCATTCAATTAGCTGTCGTGCTAGCTACTAAGCCACCTTCAAGGAAGCCTGTGCAGCTAGCTAACATTTGTAGTATGGCGTACTGGTTGTAGGTGCTAAGCCGCAGAAGAGTAGAAGACTGGATAGCCGCAAGCAGTGCAAGTTGTACAGGTTAAGCCATTTGTCAAGCTAACTTACTGCTGCGAAGTATGAGTCACTTACGTGCGATTCAGTCTCACCGGCTAAACTAGCCAGTCCCCTCCTTCCTGGTGTCTTCCTTGTTCGCTCTTATTTCGCGTCTTCTTTTAGCCAGTCTCTCTGCCAGTGTATGATCCGTATCCCTCCACAGAACACACTTGTCGAACGTAAAGCCAGCAATTTTACGTTTCCGTCTCCTAACCTATCTAACCTTTGTGGGGGGTATTTCCCGTGCAAACCAACTGTATAGGGATGCTGGCTATTAAGTTGATAGGAGGGGAGTTTAAAAAAAAAGGAAAAGAAAGAAAGAAAAAAAACACTCGACTTCACCGTCGCAGCCAACAGCGTCCACGCACTTTGTGAGGGAGGGACTTGCTGTGGCAATAAGGCAAGAGCTAGCTAGCTAGCAGGCTAACTGGCTGAATTGCTAACTAGCAATTGCTTGTTTTCTTTTGGGAACTGTCGCCACTCTCCGCAAGACACCAAGTCAGCTGCTGCAGCCAGGTGACAGAGCCTAACCTAGTTGTTCGCAACGTTATGCCACGCCGCCGTTATTAATTACAACGCAAAGTACCCGCGAAAATACTGTTTAAAACGTTACTGTAGTAGCAGCACTGCTAATGACAGCACGAGAACCCAGCAAAATTAAACGAAACACGTTTCCTCCCTCCCGGCGAGGCAATCCACGGCTCTACACGCACGAATGAACCACTGGCTCCGGAAAGCATGAGGAGGCGTGGTTACACAGTGAGCAGAGAGCGTTTGACGTAGAGTGACAGACAACAGGGCCAATTAAAATAAAAAATTCCAATACCACAGCCAATTACATACAGCTCTTGGATTAGACGCGGTAGAGAAGGCAGAGCCATATTTGTACAGTCACAAGAGGACCACACCTACAGAAGTGGCCTTGACAATTTGGTAAAGATGTGTGTGTGTAATAATTTAAACATTCTTTATATATGTAGACGCTGCTGAATGTGAATATCTGCCTTTGTCCAGCTGCCAATGAGGTGTCTCTGAGAATTATCATTATAGTTAAGAGGACAATGGTCAATTTTGTTTCACTGTAACCCAAGTAACACACATTTTCCTGACAAATTAATTGCTGAAATGGGATGATATCAAATAGTAAACTGTATAAAAAGCTGCAACAAAAAACCTTTCTTGAACGGCCTTAACCTCGTTGGTGTTCACATGCTCTCATCACTTTCTAATTTTCGTCCTTAACCTGGTATCTTTTATCCTTTCCTTCTTTCCAGACTCTCTGGGCTTTCATAGATATGTTCAGATTAGGCAACAGTCTCTGCTATCACCCTCTGAGCCAATACATCAAATCTTCATGTAACCTTCTGAATATCATCTCCTTAAATGCACCAGTCTATATTTACTTCTATTTTCATACACAGAGCTCTACTGAATTAGGGTACTACTGAAGGTTGCTGTTTCCCTTTCCATATTCCTGCCTTTGTTTACTTTGTTTTATTGCAGATCTTCTGGAGTCCACCCCCTGCAGAAATTAACCTGTCATGGTGCAGTGGGGTCACTGAGGGTGGATCTGAAGTATTCTGAGAGTATTGCTCAGGACCATTACAGCCCATGTCGCATCTCCTCTTCCATTTCTATTTCTCAGCTGTCACCAAGGTAAATCCGTTGCCATGGCCACAACGAGCCCGGATTTAATTCCTTGAACCGGTTTCTGATTGGCTCAGGTCTTTGTTTCCAACAAACGGGAAAGTCTACCTCCAGGCTCCCCCTGCTGGAAGAATGAACTCCATAAAACAAGTAAAACGTTTATATATAAAAATATACCTCCACATTGTCATTGAACAGGTTAGATTGTGGAAAACGATACACTGTGGAATTTAGTTATTGTTAACCCAACTTCCCTATCCCTTATCCTGAGAAATCACCTATGTATAATTTGTATATATAAAATGGCCCGGGGTTAGATTTTGTATTTCCTTACTCTCATTCCCCTTATTGTATCTGTAACATGCAACTGAATTTCCCGGAGGAACCTACCCGAGGGATTAATAAAGTTTCATCTATCTATCTATCTATCTATCTATCTATCTATCTATCTATCTATCTATCATCATGGTGGTATAATATACAGATTTAGAGTGTGGATTCTGGCCATGGTTTTCCTGGAAGTATCATCCTTTGAGAGTTACTGCTAATGTGGTCCTGACAAACTCTAAAAATGTCTCAAGGAGAGCTACTAACCTATTTACTGGGTAAAGAGGAGGAGGAAAAGCAGAGAAAACAGGGAACCAGAAGAAAATTGGACAGCTTTTGTATTTTTCCTTTCCAAACACTTGAGTCTTGGACTTCAGACATACAGCAACTTTGATGGATGAGGAGGAGAGAAGAGTGATGATAGGTCCCATCTGATTTGCTTCCATTGATATGCTTTGCGTGGCTTATTATGCTTCTAGCAAACTTTGTGTCACCTGTGCATTAAGACAAATAAACTCGAAGAATGTTAAATGACTCTACGGCTGTACTTTACATGGCAAAAATCTTTGAGCAGAAAAAAAATGGTAAAGGAGGAAAGCCAAAACAATTATACATAAGTGATGTTTTCATGTTGCCACTCTAAGAATACAGTTAAATTTATTAAACAAGGTGTTGTGTTTTGTTACCAAAAGAACACTCAAGAAAGGGCTCAAAGATTTTAATGTGAACATTGCCAGCAGAAAAACTCAGAATGATGCAGAATGAAATTCAAAAATATTTATATCAAGTTTAGTCTCTTCCATTGGATAAATCTGCAATGATCTGCCTGCATATTGTTCATTCACAAGTCTGAGTATCAAACCAGATCAGAAAGGAGATTTCTAAAGTAGTTAAGACAGACTAACAAATCAAACCTCCCCCAGATTGATTAATCTGAAGCTCCAAACAAAATCCATGTCCAGATGTCTAAAAAACTTGACTCCCAGGGTTGATGCTGAAACACTCCCCAGACTCTGCTCTCCAAATGTTCACTCCACCTGCTGGTAGTCCTTGGAGATGGGCTCAGGGCTGGCTTCCTCCCAAAACAATCAGCTGACTCTTCAGGAATGAATCTAAGGCAGTGAGGTACAGGCAAAGCTAAATAGGACTGGAATTTTAAATGCTAGCAGCAGTGTAGTGCAGCAGTGTAGTGCAACAGTCTGGCAGTGAATGATAAGCAGAGCTGGTTTTAAGTACTGTAGATGAGGGTGATGAAGGTAACGAGTGACAGGTGTATCATTAGAGTTTAGGTGGCCATGCCTACTCCTGAGAGGAAGTAAGAAGAGTTATTATTCACATACACACACGCACACGCTGTGGCTAGGGAGAGGTAGACAGAGCAGTAGCAGAGAGACAGAGAGAAAGGTTGGTCAGCACTTGGAAGACAAGACGGCACTTAACACAAGGACCTTAGCTTGTGGAAAAGATGTCAGAGTACATTCATGCTCCAAGACTGAAAAAAACCCTAGAAATCTCACACCAGTCCTCGGTTCATTCATGCTTTGCATGTGTGTGTACCAGTTCCAGTACCACATTCATATAACCAAGCCTGTCTTCAGTGAATTGTATGAGCCAGTACTGCCACCTACTGCCTGATGCGTACTTTTCAGCCTGGCAAACAAATGCTGATTTTTTTTCTCCCAAGTTAAGTCTTTAGTTTTGCTCATGAAAAACTACTAAAATCAGGTCGACCAAGCCTACTGACCTGTGTCACACCTCACTTAACCCTGCAATATGTATTACTGTGTAAAAAATCTACTTTCCAAGCTTCATTTCACCTGAAGTAGGAGCTGAATCCAAATGTTTTTTCTTTGTTTACACTCTTTGAGAAATTTGAAAAATTCTCACATGTGATACTCTGTTCTTTTTATGACCTTAATCGTGACCTTAAATGTTAAGGTCACGAGCTACATGTGATTTCAAAATAAAATAATAACAATGAAGATGACTGATAACCTCCCCTCTTTACGCATACCCAGCCACATAACAGAATTGAGACAGCAGTAAGTCCAGCCAGCCTGTTCAGTTAAACAGTCATTTATTCTGTAAGAGAGTATGGACATTATCAACAGTCTAGTAACAAATAAGTTGCCATTCAGCCATTCAGAAGTATTTCCATTATTATATATTATATACAATTTTGTGCCAGATTTGAAGTAAAATGTCAAATGCTGACATTCAACCTATGATGTGACTATAATGCATCAGTGCGAAGTATGAGAAGTATAGGACGATATTAAATGAAAGTGTGCACTACGGTCTTTAGAGGTGTAGAAAATGTTTAAAAACTGGCATATTTTTCACATCAACACTGTTAACATAAAGTACATCCAGTACTACATAAACTGAGAAAAAAAATTTAATAAGGAAGACTCAATAAAGTTTTGTCATAAAAAAACATAACAAATCCTTTTTTTTTGTAGGTTGTGGTGTATGGTCTCTAAACACTAACCATTTGATTGATTTGACATTGCAAATGCACGATTACCAAGATGACGTTAGGGTTTGTGTTTACAATTTTGTCCGCAGTGCCAAAATTCCTCAGCTTATCAAGATGTAGAGCTTTTCCTACCAAGAAGGCTACCGTGCCACCCTTAAAAATCAAAATGAAATACTGACACAAACACAGATTAAAGTAAATGTTGGACTCTCTAAGACAGACGACATAACTGTGAGACTTTCTAGAGTTATAATTTTAACCTCACAGCACTTAAATAATGTAGGCGTTCAATACACAGCGGTCAGAATGGAAAAATCTGCATGTTATTTCTGTTGTTTTACAAACCCTTGTATCATTATTATTGTTATTATTATTATGTGATTGATTGAACTTCCTGTTTTTTCTGTTGAGTCCCACTGGGAAAAAGAAATAACTTTAAGACAACCCAGCAACACTGTTGCCATATTAGCAAGCCAAATGCATCAATTTTTGTGTTAAATATTGCATTTCTCTAAATGGCTTAGACAAAACAGGTCTTTAAAGAATCTGGGAGGTATTTATGTGCTGTAGCTGAGCCTGTACTGAAAGACTCGGAAACAGTTTTAAACCCCAACCTGCTTAGACCTACGATAAAGACAGAAATTTAGACAGACATCAGTGAAAACAGACAGACAGGAAGACGATAAGCAGAAAGACACAATTACTCAACCAGGAATGGAAACAGACGTGACCACACACACTCACACACACGCACTCAGAAAAGAGTAAACAGAGAAACAGATGCTTCAAGTGCAGAAAACACTCACAGACTCACAAGTGAGCATAAAACCACATTCATTAGCATAATAAGGCACAGACAACAACCAGAATACAATTCAAAAATAAATGTACAAAAGTTATTGTCACAAAAATCTCTTCAATTATATGAAATTAAAAATTTCCCCAAATTGATTAGAGTTGCTTTTTTATCTGCTGGAAAACCTGATAACTGTTTGTTTTTTTCTTTCAGTAGTTTGCGTGGTGTATAAATTGCAGGTGTTACGTAAATGTTTTGCACTCATGTTTATTTCACCTTAGATAAAGATCAAAATGAGAAAACAACTTCCTGAAAATCTAATTTGATAAAGAAGTACAAGGCAACAAACCTTTAGCAGTAACACCCTTTGGTTGTTAATCATTTTTTAAAAATATATATATATATATTTTAAAAAGAGCAAAAAAGAAAAGTCAAATTAAAATCTGGAAGTTTAAACAAAAATCTTTGACAAAGACAGTGTGTGACGTTTTTCAAGACATGAACTTCAGTAGACAGTGTCTTTTCAGAAACACTGCCATACATTTTCTGGGTTGCTTAACTGTACAAACATACAACCGTCAACCAGTTTCCATAACAACAAAAGTGTTATGAAGTCTTGAATAGATGGGAAACTCAATGAGCGATTGGATTGTGGTATAAAAAAAGTGCCTTGTCGTGATGTGTTATCAGTACTTTGATGCCTATACATTAAATGAATTTCTATAAATACAAGATAAATAAAAGATATGTAAAATACAATGTAGTCTTCATTTCTTCATTAGCATTTCTATGTACAGAGTATTACAATTGTGTTCAGCAACCAAGCAGCGTGACGGCTGGAAACAAATCAAGTTTGTCAAAACTGTCGGTTAGAACAGCAAGATTTGAGCTGGGGCGTTGCTCCAAAACACAGTTATGACGATTCAAACATTTAAAGGTTTACGTGTTAACAACCTGGAGCATCTGTTTTTGTTTCTACACACATGATTACGACAATAAGATAAAACCGTTTTCCTGGATTTACATTCACTTTGGAAGACGACCCCTTCAATTCTTGCTGCTTTCTTCAGCATTCACTCCAGAGGCCCATTCATGCGAACTGAATCTTTCAAGTGCACTTTAATCTTATAAAACTACATAAAGACTGGCCTTTGCACCTCAGGCTTATTAGCATAAAACAGCTCTTCTCTTAGAAACAGTCATACAGTCGAAATAAAAAAATGACAAACATTAAACTGAAGTGGCCTAATTACATCACCCTGTAGGCCAGCTGTGACACATTTCTTTATGAAAGCTGCAGCCAAATTAGATTGAGTGGTTTCCTGCCCTCATTCTTTTCTCTACTTTAATTTCAACTTCCTAAGCCTAAAAACTGAAGAACCTTAACAGTCAAGTGGATTATCATTTATTAATAGAGTAATATATGTGCACATTTATGGCATTCCTTCTCTCACTCCATGCTTGTAAGGATACATATCAGGGAAAAGGGAGCATGTGATGGCTTACAAGCCTTCACAAGATGTAAAGACAATATAAGGGGACTACACTTTATTAAGAAAGGACTAAAATCCAGTGAAAAGGTTTTGCTTCCATAGGGAAAATGCACAAACCTATGTGATAAAAGGCCTTGTTATGTCTTCGAAATCATTCAATGGGAATAGTATGTTTTTGGACCAAACAGCAGACTAGACAGTCTTTTTTTTTCCAAATTCACTGAGTGTGCGCAGCTCTTATCACTGTGAGCTGATGATGCTAATTATTTGCTCTCTTATCTCAGTGCTCACACAAAAGGGAATCCTCAGAGCAGCAAATGGACAACCGGCCCTGAAAGCACACAAACGTCTGGCACACTTCCTGTAGCATTAATGAATCCACATTTTTACTCTGAAAAAAACAAAAAAACAGTGCTGCCATGGTTACTGACAGCTTCTCTCCTCTCCTTTTTCTTTCTCTTCCCCTCTCACCATATCTCCATCTCTCTCCACCCCCGTAGCCAGCGACAGCAGTATTATGCACTCATGTAGTCTGACAGGTACAGCTTTTTGAAATTACGCAGGATCCTGTGAGGCTGAAACAATCGCGCTGATGCGTTGCAGCAGGGGTGCTATTATGAGTTTGAATAAAACTGGGACCGCGCGACACTTGTGTGCGCTGTTCCTGCTGCAGCCTAATCAGGAGCAGATTGTGTTTGAAGGGCTGGTGATAAAAACCCCTGCAGTTCAGTTGAGGTTAAGGGTCTGACTCCCATCGGGACTGATGAATACATTTACATCTCCATCTATGTCTGCACCCGCTGCAAAGTAATCCAATATTTGTTCTGGCAAAGTATTTTTTGACGTCTGTAAAAATAGAGAAGAGGATGCACTTACATCCTGAAGTTCCTTCTATTTATTCCCTCTTCTACACTGATTTGTTTGCTTTCATGTCTCATGTTGTATTTTGTATTCAATGCTATTTTTTTCACATTATGGAAAGCACTCTGCCGATAACGATTAATTATTTTATTTTCTAATGCAACTCGATAATACAGCTGACGCAGTTCAGTCTGAAAACACCAGGAAAGATGTTAATAGAAGAAGAAGCCACATCAACGTTTGTAAGTAAGCGACTTCAGGTCACATTTAAAGTTAAAGTATGTGTCACGCTTGACTTATTTCAAAGCAGGTGGGCAAAAAGCTCTTAAAGATATCAGACCTGGAAGTCAAACTACTGACCTTATGATAACCTCTCCTTCCCACAACCCCCTCCCAAAAAAAACCACATGGTCTACTGCCTAAGCCAGTCCTGATAATAGAGCCTTTTCCCTCATCATCAGTCATTTTATGTAATCTTTTCATACTGGGAGCAAAACAACGTCAGACTAAAATGTCTTTAATATGACATTTTAAATTGCTCCTTCTGATTGTTTTGCTGCGATGTAAAAGTCTTTCTTGTTGGTTAATGTTGCAGAAACCCATTTTCTGATTTAAAGCACACCAGCTCACCTAAAGAAGAAGCTGAAGAAAGAAAAAAGATTTAATGGCCCCTTCCTCCCACCTACATCTAGCACCCTTGGTCTCAGCCATATGGTCCAAGAATCAGAAAAAAAGAATAAAAATAGTATCTGAACACTTTACAATATAACCTGTTGCAGCTCTGATAATTGGCCACTAGGGACAGTGTGGGTGGCTGAGGGTACACAATGTTTGAGTATGTAGTAGAACAAAGGCTTGCATGATGGATGGAACAAAGAGCACCGGTTACTGTGGCTAAAAAATAAACAAACAAACAAAGAAAAAATAGTATGGGTGAGACAAGGCGGGGTGAAGGGAAGAGACATAAAGACAGAGAGGCCAGAAATTGCTCTCATTCTGTCAGTCTTTTAGTGGTCACCGTGGTGACAACACATGTCAAAAAGAAAAAAAGGACTCTTCTGCCACACTGCTGCTGCTATGACTAAACAAGAGTAACGGTCACCGTGGTTACAGCAGCAAGCTTCCCCCTTCACTATGTGCATGAGTCTCTTTGAACTCCGGGTAATACCGAAAAAAGAAAAAAAAAGAAAACAGGCTGGCCAGTTGAATCTCTATCAAAGAACTGCTTACTGGATGTGTTCACCACAGAACGAGTCACTAAAAGCGGTATCACGGATGTCTGGTGTCAAAAATTAAGCACCACAAAAGACCCTAATTGCTTTCCAAGTTGTGAGCGGTGCACGTTTAATAATCTGAAACCTCATTGTGCTTGACGAACAGGTAAAAGCTAAGTGTATGTGACCAGTAATTACAGTCTACACGACACTATCAAATAGGTAGTTCAGAGCGTGTCTGTCTAGTTTATAATTACTGACAAACCACAAATGTAGGCTACTTTGACATTATTGCTGTGGTTCAGCTGAAAACCCACATCGAGCAAGAGCTGATTTTAAATGCTAACCCTTTGAACGGCCCCTTGTCCTCACCTTTGATGTCCCTATACTTTAAGAACATCAAAGGTTAGTTTTACAGAACAAGATTGAAAAAAAAACGAAGCCAGACTGGCTGCTTCCTGGAATAAAGTCATGTCATGTTCCCCTTTCACTTTATAGCTGGGCCCCCCAGTTTGCAGCCTGAACTTAATCAATCAAGGCTTGGCCTCAGTGAACAACTGACAGTGAGCTCGACTACGGCCATAAAGGTCAGAGAACACTTCACCTTTGACCTCCCACCTGCAGAGCGATTCAAAGCAGTTTCATCTGAATAATTTAGCCCCATCTTACACTCTTGACTAGGATCGCATATATAGCACCTATGTGGAAAACTATTTTAATAATCGGTCACTCAGTTAGGCAGATAAGAAGTACTTATATCGTCATTAGGACAAAATTTATGAAGCTAGATCATCATCTGGATTTAGACTGACTACAGTACCTTATCCTCATATGATGTATCACTGTCAACCATCTGTCTTTAGGCTAACCATCTGTCCTCAGATCAAGCAAAGAGGAAGTCAGGAGAAGACTATTACATATAGAGTGCTTTCAGTATATGCTTCTGATCAACTCTATAAAAGCTGCCTTTATCAGAAATGTGATATTACAAAACAGCGCAGTCAGTGAGGAGGCAGGAGAGGAAGAGGAGATGGGATAAGGTCAGAGAGTATGGTGGAGTAAACTAAGGAGACTTTAAGATGGCTATTCAGTGTCGCTAAATGATAAGTTATCTATTAAGTATTCATGCATCCCTGAACCGACAACAGCTCCAAAGGTGCCAACCTCCTTCTGTTCCTGACCTCTAACCCAGTCTGTTAATGGTAGTTGAGGCAGAAAGAAATGCTTCTGTATTCTGCTGCCTCTGTTATTAATATTTAAAAGATCTGGCCTGTTTATAAAAAGAGAAAATGAAAGGCCATACCCATTATTGCACTTCGAACCCTTGCTTTTAGGGAGTAAAGTTTGTGACAGTCTTTACTCTCTAAAAGCTGCACACGAGCAGTTCAGTGGAGATGATGTGAAGCATATAAACACATGAGGCACATCCCTGATCAGAAATTTTGCCATGATGCTGACCATTGCTACAGAGTATTTACAATAAGAACTGACCCTATTGCCCAATTTATATCAGTGGCCTGATGTACAGATAGGAGGAAGAGTGTGTGTGTGTGTTTTTTTTTTTACAGTAGCCCAGAGGATTTGCTAATAAACCTGTTATACAGAGACTATAATGTCCATCAGTATGCCCAAATAACTCCCAGACAGGAAAGTGCAGTAGTATTATTATGCCTGACGCACTACAGGAACGTGAGCAGGCGTTTTATGACGAGATTGGCAGTTTCCTCAGAGCTTCAACAGAGGTGTGCAGGCCATACATTTAGGAGCCTTGCGCTTCCTGCGATGTTGCAGCTGGGATGTGCTCTGTGATCCAGGTGGTCAGCTCCTTTAGCACGGACTCAGCCACCTCAGGGAGGTCATGGTGAAGAGCGTGGTAGCCTCCTTCGTAGATCTGGGATAACATTTAGAAATGATAAGAAACGATCAGAGGGATGTATGTAAAACCATTTCATTTTTGTTCTACAATGCTTTTTAACAACTTGCAGTGTGGTCAAAGTTGCAACGGGTTCTTCCTGCTTTGCCAAACCTACAGGGATTTAATACAAAAGTCATTTGATCACACCAAACATTTTGCTGTGATCAAATGACTTCCGTTTACAGCTTGAACTAACGTGGAAAGCCCCTGCATTTGGTCCAATTATTACTTTGATAAAACATGTGATAAAGAAGCATCTGATCCTCACAAGCACCACTTGATTTTCTGCTCCCTGCACTATCTGTCTCACTGTGCTGCACGAAAACAGAACATTCGTTATATCTGATTTCACTTCTCATGTGTCTCATTCTCATGTCTCTTGTTCATCCTCTTTTTAACCTCCATGTGATGAACCATGTGACAACATAGTGTGTGAAACTTCCCTCTTTACAAATACCAGTGTTGAAGCTCTTGGGATTTAAGAGGTTTAAGCTGCATTTCATAATGTAATACAGGTATAGGCATGTGTTGCATCACATCACTGTAAAATGCTTCACAGCATTGTGTAAAATCCCCTGACTGTAAAGTCAAGGCTTTGTATGTTTTTCCTTTAGTTTGCCACCCATCTCTATGTTATATTTTAATAACAACAAGTTTTAATGACAGACAGTCTCTGTATTAATCAAACACAAAGACCTCAGCTTTGTAATCTTGAATCATCATTTTTAAAGTGTCAGAAGACACCTTTAATGCTGGAGGCAACGTTATTCACCATATTTATGCACTGTGTCACGTTCAGTTGTTGCACTTTATAAACGCTCATCTGAAACTTTATTAACGCAAATATTTAAACATATCAGTGTATTTAGACATATAGACCTGCTGAAATTCAGGCCAACCATCAAAATGGGGAAGAAACATAATTTAAATGACTTTGAATGTGGCATGGCGTTTGGTGTATTTGGAGTATTTCAGAAACTGCTAATCTACTGGGATTTTCCTGGACACTGTCAGATGTCACGGTAATGGTCACACTGCTTTGAACTGACAAGAAGGCAACAATAAGTCAAATAACCAACTAACCAAGATATGCATAACAATTTCTCTCAGTGCACAATAGATTGAACCTTCAAGCAGCAGAAGACCATCCCAGTCCTGTCAGCTAAGAACAGAAAACTGAGTCTGTGTTTCACACCTGCTCACCAAAATTGCATATCAAAAGACCAGAAATTGTGTTGTTTGGTCTGATGACTCTCGATTTCAGCTTCAACATTGAGATAGTAGGGAGAGAATTTGGCATAAACAACATTCAGTTCAACTCAATTCAATTTTATTTTATTTCTACAGCACCATTAAAGCATGAAGCAGTCCTGCTTCGTGCTAATAGTTTAGTGTGTTGCTGGTGGTGTAATTGGGCTCCTTAGTGCCAACTGAGCATTGTACCCAGCGTGTACTGTTGCTGACCACCACCATCTTCTGATGGCTGCTTCCAGCATGGGATGTTTTATTCATATCATGTCAAACTGGTGTATTGAACATGACAATGAGTCAACAAATCTTCACCAACTATGTGATGCTAATCTATCAATATGAATCTAAATCTTAGAGGAATGTTTCCAACACCTTGTTGAACCTAAGGCAGTTCTACAGATACAGTTTTCTGTAAACTAACCATACACACCTTGATTTTCTTGTCTGTACTCAGTGAATTGTCATACATCATCCTGGAGCCTCTGATGTCACAGAGTTTGTCGGCGTCACCGTGAAGGAGCAGGAAGGGCCAGCTGATGGACGGGATCTCCCTCTGCATACGCTCCACTGCCGCCATCAGCTGCATGCCGAATGATACTCGCATCCCGCCGTGATAGTTTAGCTCATCAGCGTCATATGCCTCCACCTGACCGGAGAGAAACAAAAGAGGCCAGGGTGGAGATGCTTTGGTTTATCATCGCTCTCCACCGGATGTTGGACTGATATCAATGTAAGTTCATTCCTGCTGTTCCTCTTTCTAATTAAGCTCAGAGAAATAATTTTGGTCAGGCTTAACTCAACTCAGCAATCCTTTCATAGAACACAAATGCTCCTTCAACCCTGTAATGCCAAGTAAGTAAGTTAGTGACACCTCTACATCATCAGTGAGAGTCTGTGTACAATTAGATGCATGCAGCGCTACTGTGGGCAATAAATTGCACAAACGTGTCAGCCAGAAGAAAAATGGTACAAATTAAAAGGGAAAACGGTTGCTCATGCACAGATGGCCTGGAGTCTCCTAAGAGCAGATGAACAATAAAGAGTCCTTTCTGCATTTTAAATGTTGAATCTAACAGCTAGTACAGTGATCAAATATTCACTTTGTTTCTCAAACCAAACTTATAACAGAAAACTGTGAGAAAAACTTTTCAGAAGTACACAGTGTGAAATGTGGAAAATTGTATTTTACAGTATCTGCAAGAAACAATATTAATATATAAATGGTAAATGGACTGATTCTTATATAGCGCTTTTCTACTCTCTCAGAGTACTCAAAGCGCTCTATAACAGATGTCACATTCACTGACAGCCTATCCCAGCTGTCTTAGGGCGGGAGGCAGGGTTCAACCTGGACAGGTCGCCAGTCTGTCGCAGGGCTAACACATAGACACAGACAACCATTCACTCCTGCATTCACACCTATGGGAAATTTCCAATTAACCTATCCTCACTAACTGCACATATTTTGAATGTGGGAGGAAGCCGGAGTATCCGGAGAAAACCCACTCAACCCACACATTTTTTTGTTTTCCTGCAAAATTACTACTACTACTATTTCCCTTAAAAACCTGAGTTGTTAACCCAATATTTGTAGCTAAGTATAATAACAATTTACTTTTAGATTGTTAATTTACTTTTACTTTACAATTTACTTTACAATTTACTTTTAAATAAAATACACTTACATTCTCTTTAATTATGCCCTCGGTCACGCATATTATATTTATATATTATGTAAATATATATATATATATACATATACATATATAACATATATATATTAATGTATATATATATATATATATATATATATATACATATTATACATATATATATATATATATATGTATATATATATATAATATAATATATATATATAAACAATATATATATAGTATATATATATATATAAATATATATATATAATATATATATATATATATATATATGTGTGTGTGTGTGTGTGTGTGTGGTGTGTGTAAAATATTTTACCTGATACTGTATCTGCAAGACACAATATTAATATATAAACAATATTTTCTCCCTATTGGCTACATTTAAATGCAACAGCTCTGACAGCTTTTCAAATAGTCATTTCCATTGTTTCTTTGAAAAAAATTATACTTATAATGTGAAGTATTTCATGCAAACTTCAAATGTATCAGGGAAAATGTGATCTTCTGCTAACCTTAACTAAAGTCCTTGGTAACACTTTATAATACAGCCCACATCTAAGGATGTAATTCCCTTGTAATTAAATGTAATTTCAGTGTATCTTATTTGAATTAAAATGTAATTATATTTACCTACAAATACCTAAGAACATAAGAATGAGGGGAAAAGTCAGGTTTTTCATTTTTTTTATTGTACTGTAAGTAAATTCAAGTAATGGTTGTGAATTTTAAGTTGTGTAAAGTTTCATTTGAATTTTTTTATTTTAAGGTGTTACCCAGTCATTTTATTGCCCTAACGTATTCAAAATGTTGCCCCAAAACTGTGCACTCATGTTGTCACCTAAACAAAAGCACAAGACTGAAAGGCTATTTCATAAAACACATTTATTTATTCATTTTTAAATACAGACTGACAGATACCAGTTAAGAAAAGAACCTAAAAGGCCAGCAACTCCTCTTCCTCTCTTCCGACTCTAGTTCTAACTCATCGATTATAAACGTGAGTTCCTCCAATCTCTTCTCCATGTCCTCTTGCTCCTTCAGAGTCTTTAGAAGTGAGGCCTTCTCCTCCTCTTCTTTTTGCAGTGCCTGTGTGAAGTTAGCATTCTCCTTCTTTTGCTCCTCCAGGAATGCGATGTAGAAAGCTTTCGTGTCGTTTAGCTCTTTCTCTAAACTCATCAGCTTCTCCTCATTTTGTTCTTTGAGGCCTTTAAGTTGCTTAATTTCAGAGCGTAAAGCCTCTTTCTCATCCTCGTGTTCCTCAGCTTGCTTCTTCAGTTCTTCCTTAGCGTTTTGAAGCTGCTGCTGGAGTTGGTCAATGCACATCTGTTGCATCTCGCAGCACTGGTTCTTTGAAGGAGCGTCACTGATCATCGTTTGGGTGTCTATAGAGTTTCTGTTCGGCTGCTGCAGCTTCTTGTTGGCATCGCCCAGGTTAGAAGTAAGCTTATGCATGATCTTATCTGCTAGAATCAACCTGTTTGCATTGTTGATTCGTTCAATTTTAGCTTCACGAAGCTCAAATTTGAGCGTGTGAATGTCCTGCAGGTAAGACTTGGTTTCATTACTGAGCGCTGCGTCCAGCTGCTTTTTCAGATCGTTGATTGTCTTCTCAGTTTCTATATCCAAATAGTAGAACTTTCTGCGATACTCATCCACCTGACTCTCAAAATCCAAGGCCTTCGTGTTTGCTTCTCTAAGACTGGATTTACACATGTGTAGCTGCCACTGAGTCTCTTCCAGTTGGGCTCTGAGACCAGCATTATCCTGCTTCAGATTGTGCCTTACTCTTGGTGGAAAACTGGGCCTGCCATGTTGATACCAAGTCCCTGCAGGTTGCATGTTGTTTGGCCTTGGTCTGCCGGTCATTGCTGGATTCTCACGACGCTGCATATCACTTATCTTTGGTTTGACAACTGTCTGCTTCTTTTCCCTCTCTTTCTTCAGTACGCAACTGACTGAACAAAAACAATTCTCCAGGTTGCTCCGACAACATTCTGTACACACTAAAGGATGCGATGACAACAGACTAAATGAGGTTTCAGTTGTTTTCATTCAAAAATTAACATAATATATGGCGGATTTCATTTTGCCATCACCCAATCACCCTAAAAGTTAAAACCACTGATAGATAAAGCGAGTTAAACTGGCCATTTTCTTACTCCTTTCCTTTACCTGGCTTAAATCACCATGGTAACAGATGCCAAATACATCTGGCCAGGTTGTGGTCAGTGTTTTGATTTAAAATTAGCTGGAAGCTACAACACGTTTGAACTGCATTATAGATTATATGCTGGAGAAATACATTTTATGTGTTCAAGTTGTTAAAAGTCATACAAGTAAATTAATATTTAATTTTTTTAATTTTAATTTGTTAGAATGCTCAATAAAAACCCCACTTAAATGTTAATGCAACTTGTAATAAAGGCAAGATCTTGCAAGCCTAATCATTTTCTAATTTCTCGCAATATACAACTATGAGAAGATATGTGTTACACATTTAGAAAGGGTGTGCACAGCCTAGAATGAACAAGCAAATACATACTGTAGTTTTCTCCAAATATGGCATAACGCTGAAGGGAGAAAAGTTGTTCTCAGGGAGAAAATATGGGCATGAAAATGAAAAGACTCCTGGGAAATCTGTGGCAGTTGGAGGGGAAGCGGGAACAAATGGTCGCTAATAAATGGACAGTGAGTTTTATTTAGAAATAAAAATGTGAGCGAAGCAGGATGATAAAGTGGAGTTATGTTAAAAGGAAGCAGAAAGGAAAAAGGAGGAAAAAGGAAGCTAAGGAGGTAAATCGGAGAGGGAATTCCCTGTTTCTCTGACATTAAACATGTAGTTACAAGTAGCTGTCACATAAGTCATACAGTTACTCATGTCTATTCAGCATCTATGTAAGCACAGCTGTGGCTGACTTTGACAGAAAGAGCATTCCTCTATTGTCACACAGGTGGCTTGACTAATGACACCACATCAGCCCAGGAGACTGTGAAACCTCGTGCTGTAGACGACATCCTTCCATCTAATCTATCATCGAAAACTTTGGGCTACAAAATGAAATAAATTAACTTCAAAATGTTTTGATGAGAGTAATAGTTTATTATTTCTTTTCAACCTATTTTTTTCACTGTTTTTTGTATTAAATGTTAAAGATTGTATTTCACGTTTTAAAGATAACGTGCAAGAATGTAACTGCTGCAGGGTCTTGTAGCATGGTGGACTTTGTATCTTTATGTATGTGCATCAATGCTTCGTTTATGGTTCTGCATCATGCTTTATCATCCCTCATTTTAAAATTAGTAACATTTTGCATTTGTTTGTTATGCGACAATCAGCAAACTGATCAGTGGACACTGTTGTGTGCATCTTGAATATTACACAACTAGTGACACAAGTAGTGTCACTGCATGTTCACTAAATAACAATGACTTGCAGTTACAGGAGCAAAAAGGACCAATACAAAAAAGTATTCATTAAGCTCATCATAAGATCGTTTGTGAGCTGATTGGTGGTAGATGATGAAAAAAGAAATATAAATCCTGCAACAGCAAATTTCATTTAGTTTTTTTACTTTTCTCCTGTCTTTTGGTGAAAGAACATCTTGAGGCCATGAACATTTATGTACCGAACTTGACTGAGACGTTCATTCCCACTGATCCCCGCTCACAATGAATAAAACAACATAAGGCTACCGAACGGTTTCATATTCAGTTGTGAAATTGAGCTTTCTACTTTACTGAAAACACATGAAGAAAAGGTTACAGTGAGAAATCAGAGCAAAGTATGATCCACCCCTGCAACTTTCATTCTAGTAACAATATCGTATCACATAGTCTCATTATGCAGTTGGATACCTGTGTGCCTAGATTACCTGTTACATGATTACATCCTTTGATTCAGTATTTATCTGCTATTGTTTATTCTTGTATCTGGAAGAACACAACTTCCTCTGACTGACTGTAGGAAGCAGAAGCAGCAGGATGTGGGAATGTTGATGTAAACTAGGCATACACACACACACACACACGCAGACTCAAATTCGTGCAAAATTTAGGCGTGGTGACATGCCATGAGAATTTGTTTCTGTTTTTCCACGGATGTCTCTAGGGGCACTACAAAGTATGGGTGTGTAGCATGTACTGTGTTTACAAAATAACACAACCAACAAACGCACGCAAACCTGTCCTGCTGTTTGGAAAAGGCGTACAGTGTCTACAAAGATGTGGTGTTTTGGCATGGGATGGGTTTGGACAATAAACATAGTGTGACTTGACATTAGCGTAGACAATCAACGGCGGACAAATTTACACCTTGGAAATTCTATTTCCCACAATCTCAGTGAGTGATATTTCAATTTCAAACAACAAGAGTGCTCAGCCACCCAAAACACACATTGCCAGCATCAGTCTCTCACCTGCCTCTTGTCCCGTGAGAGCCATTTGGACTCGATGGAGCCCATAGTGAGGCTGGGCAGCATGTGGTTCAGCAGTTTTGCCATGAAAACCTACAAACAGAGAAGAGCATAGCTTATTTTCATGTGACATCATTCATGAAGACTGTTTCCTTCTCCTATTTTGGTTTTAAATATTGCACTATTATGTATTAGTGTTAGACTTTTAATTCATAAAATAAGGAATAAAAAAGTCATTTATTTCTGTTAAAACAGCCTCCTCTGTGAGATTTGTCAGAGATTGGCCACACTTGGGACATACTTGTATCAAAGACTCAGTGAGAGGCCATTTATGCAGCTCTAGTGATACCTGAACTGATTGTTGCCTTTGAAACACACAAAATAAAAGGTGCCAGTATTATAAGTATTATAGACACCATCCACAGCAAACCTGAGTAAAGTAAGATAACTGCCTCTTGGGTTGGCAGAGGAGAGAAAAAGAACAGAAAGAAGAGAATAGTGGTTTAAAGGGTCGGTGATTGGTATGTGGTACCTTGAATGGTGTGGCTGACTCCGGGTTCATCTGGACCAGGGGAGCTATCAGAACCACTCCAACAAAATCACCAGGTCTTTCACAGGCTGTCAGGATTGAGATAGCACCACCCTATAAAAGAAATGCAGAACATATTAGCTTAATGAAACTGTAATACAAATAATATTTGTCAAGCTATTTCTTTAAATCTATTGCCCGCATGTCATGCTTCTGTCACTTAATTTTGAATTTTCCTCTTTAATTTTATATGCTGCTTAAAGATGTCGTATGTAAAATATGATATGAAGATTCTTGCGGTTACCAAACTTGGTTACATTATTTAAAATTATCTAGAAAAGTAAAACTTAAAATATTTTACTTTGGGCATGTACAACATTTTTTTTAACGTGTGAAAATCCTGGTTTGGGAGAAATCGACTTTCTTTTCTTAAATATTATAAGACTGAATGGCAGCTGCCTGGTGGTGTACAAAAAACACATTTAATAACGCCAACATTCATGTAAATTTCCAGAAATCATAGCCTACTTGTTGTGCACAGCTTTCTTTATGTAAGAACTAATTTTTCTTTGTACTTCTGTCTTCATCCGCCTATCAAAAGAAGCGGCTAGCTAACAACACAGCTCAGCAGAGGGAGGATGCTGTAATCTTTATATCCTGTCATGCTCTCACGAGCATGAGCCTCCAGTCATAGATGAAAGATTCTGCGGTGCTATGGTCGACAGCTGTTGTTTGATAAAAAACTATATAACACACCAAAATAAAGGTGAGAGCACTCACTAGGCCAAAGAAAAAGAAGCACATATATCTAAAATAAAAAAGAAAATGGCAGTCGTGGAGATTTCACCTCAGTGGATGTTGTCACTGGTCGCTGTGTACTGATCAGTGCAGTAGTAACCTCATCATGTACGATGTATGATATCTTCTTATTTAAAAATAAAGCATATTGTTCTCAAGGGACCCAAAATAAATTGAAAAAATGAGAAAAAAATTAACAAAACAGAGAAAACCACAGATAACAGCATTAGTTATAAAGACAGGGTTTCAGTAAGGAGACAGACTCGGCACGTCTTACTTCTTTAGTCTCCAATAGAGGAAAAGGAGTGTCTTTTCTAATGTGATCAAAGTGGAAAGGTCCTAAAGTAGGTGAAAGGTCTTGATGCAAGGAGCAGTAGGAAAACTATTCAGAGGTCACAGCTAACATGAAACAAGCCATCTTTTGTGTAGATCTCCAACCCTATTTTTTCTTGCTATTGTTCCACACAGAGAAATGTCAGTGTGGGACCATGGGCCCCGGGGGCACAACACTGCTGAGCTCCACAGAACATCACCAGGGCCACACTATAGCACCCACGCTGACATTTTTTCATATTGTGATTTCAATTCTGTAACGTAGGGCCACGACAATTAGCAGCTCCATGGCAGCCAAAACCTAAATCGATTCGTCAGGGTCGACTGTGGCATGGTTTCTCCTCTCGTATGCAACAAGTGCATGACACACACACGCACGGGAGCACAGTGATTCTGTGTGGGAGACTAATTGGCTTCAACTTTGTTTATGTGGGGAGCTTTCTTTGTCACCTACGTGAATATTCATCAGCCCGGGGGCCAATCACAGCCTCGCTTTGTTGAAAAAGGGTACCGAAAGGAAGACAAAACCGTTCCCACCAGAAAACTTCACTCTGTAAAGACACAAGTGCACGCTCGCACATCGCCGCCTGCATGCAAACACACAGGGAGTATGAAAAAAAGAGGGCAGCTGCCTGAATCTCCCCTTTCTTCTTATTTTTGTCTTTCGCTAAAACATCTACATGTGAACACCAGGACGCACTGCTGCAAAAACAGAAGTAATGCTCAACTTCAAGTTGCATTTTTTTTGGTGGTGGTGGGTAGTGGTGGGGCTGCTAAAAGCTGCAAATTGGCTGATTGGTTCAGCATATTTAGTGCCTGTTAAATATCAACAAAAAATGCCAATGAATGCGGTTGTGTCAAAGGGTCTGCACTGATAGAGTGAGATAAGTGTGAATAGGGAAGGGAAGAGAGGGAGACAGAGTGACAGATGGATGACTGGGACAGAGAGGCTCTTTCAGAAGCTGATAAGAGGCCCTATACACTCTTCTACCTCTGAACTAGAGTTGACAAAATGAATGCTGGTATTGTACACAGTGCTACACACTGTCAGTGGGTGGACTCGAACTGTCAAAAAATAGCCCAAGGAGCTAACACTCTGATATTATATGGACTGTACAGCTGCCCCACTAACACTGCATGGTGTACACAGAGAGTACACCACTGACATTATATGGAGTAGAAGGCTAAAATAGCGGCATTATATGATGTAGGCTTAATAAACATTATATGGCCAATAAGTGAACACCTGTTGCATTCAGTATGAACTCACCACTAATAGAAAAAACAACAAAAAAAACAACAAAAACAACTGAAGACATTCCCTTAATGCAATGGTGTTGTTCAATGGTGCCAAGAGGACAAATTAGGGAGTGCACCAAGAGATGTTTAACTTGTCTCTAATGTCTCACATTAAAAAAATGTCACCCATTATATGTAAGTTTTCCAAGCCAATTAGAAATGAAGAAGCGTTTTTATTGACGCCACGGTGCATCACAAAGGGAATTTTTGTTTAGTGTGAGTAATGGATACTGAGGGGAGATGAGACAGAGGGCTTAGAAGCTGAACAAATAGTTCCTAAGCACTGCTGAACCGTTACATAAAAGGCTGTCACAGAGGAAGGACAAGTAAGCCTCGGCCAGAAATACTGATGGAGAAAGAAATAAATGAGTACGAGTGGGAAGACGCCAAAGCTGAAGGGATTTTACAGCATCCCACGAGCAGATACAACGTGGACAAACTGCTAAAAACTTCTGTGTCACTGCTCAACCAAAAGAGATACAGCGGAGCCCCTGAAAAGAGTCGAGTGTTTGGTTTTGTGTAAATTTGCAACCGTAATGTGTTTTTTAGTTCTTGCTGTCGCACGTTTAAAAGTGCTCACACATGTTTATGTGTTCTGGAAACTGTGAAAATGAATTGCGGTAGTTTTTTCATCAAGCTGTAAATAGCTTGAACTAAAAACTTAAACCCACGCTACAAAAATGCTCATGTTCTGAGGTTTATATGATCATCTGTAGGTCGCAAATCACTTTCAGACTACTGTGACATAAATTACACTATAAGATCAAAGGATCTGAAATTTAACAGACTTTTTCCTGTTTCACAGGTCTTAATAAATATAATAAAATATAAAATATTATGAAAAACATGGTTCAATTGTGAATAACTATAAATTAAATTAACATTTTGATCAGTTAGAACTGTGACTTTCTTTACAGCGTCACTGCAGCTTGACTCTGCCGACTACATTACAGGATGTTATCACTCGAGCAGCCTCTCAACACACACAGCAGAATACCCAGGTGGTCTCTATTGTGTTGTCGTTTGGAGTTTTTGCGTCATCGTGGCCTGAGAGATTTATAAAACTGAAGAAGCAGAGGAACAGACTAATAGAAACAGGATGCAAAGTGAAAACACCGGGAAACTGGGAAATGAGGCCTGTAAAAACACAGTTGCACATCACTTGACCCGCGGCAGGTTTCCTGAAAACTGAGTTTGGGTTTTTATTTGTTTCAAAGGAAACAAGAATGTAGCAGAGGATGAAATGAAGAGAGATGAAAATGAAAAAAAAAAAGTTATATCTAGGGAGAAGGATATGAAACTAAATGGAAAGGGAAACTAGTGACCAACTGACATTAGTGACACCAGTGAAACCTCAGACACACCCATTTCTACACTACACAGTCAACTACACAACTGACTTCATCTTCAGGGTGTTTTTTAGGATTTTCCTCTGGTTCCAGCTGTAACCTAAAAAAACTTACAAACTCCTCTGATGTTGTCTAGCAACAAGCAACGGGGTTAAAAATAAAGCTGACTTTTATAACTCACACCATTAAGTTGATTTAATTAAATTTTAGCACAAGCTAAAAGTTGTGCATCATTATGGGTGTGGCTGCTTCCACCCTGCGATGTATTACCTCAGCTGATCTGAGTCACTGAAATGGATGGTGTTTGTGGTCTTTACACAAAAACACAGCCACCCCCATAGACCATAGAGCAGTGACTACTTCATTTTTACATGTATACTTGTATTTATGGGTCTAAAACACAAATGAGTCATTTCCAAACTTGGCTTTAGTTAAGTCTCAGTTACGCTTGTGAAGTTTCATGACTGTTCGACAGGGATGTCTAACTCATTTTACATCGTGCGCCACATACAGCTCACTTTAATCTTAAGCGGGCCGGACCCTTTCTGTCTTTCACTGTGCAGAAGTTTACCTGCATTTTTAATCCTGGTGATTTCTTAATATAAGAAAAAGAAGAGCAATTATAACAGTATGTCATTTTTCTACACAACATTGAAATGTTGTTGTTGTAAATGAAATTATTCTGTCAGCATCACTCTTTGGGCTTAAATTGTAAGACATAAAAGTGTAAAGATTGAGAAAAAGCTAATTGCCCAGACTGCCCTGTAATTAGAAAACTGAAAGTTTTTGTCAATTAACAGAAAATATTCAGATATTTTTTTTGTTACTGTGGACCCATTGTAAAAAAAAATGTGAAAAAATAGGAACTTTTCAGTCATTTAATTATTTTCCACATAATAATTATTTGTAGTAGTAACTGTAGTTTGGCCATAATTGAGGTCATAGTCCAGTGAGCTGGACTGGAGTCTTTGTCAGACCAATTCTAGGCCCTGAGCTTTATATTTGACACCCCTGCTGTTTAGTTTCTTGCATTGTTGCTGTCAATAGACATCAATGCAGATAGACAGACACAAGCCCAGGTACTCAAAACTGCCTTTGAGAAAGTTAAAACAGGTTTATCTCCAGCTGAGGCCTCTCTGTGCTTCGAGTAGTCAGTCAGATGAGAAAAAGCTACATAAATCCTAGTCGATTTCATTTCCATTGCTATCACAGGTGGTACCAAAAAAAAAAAGAAGGACCTGAGTCTAACCAATAACTTAAGAGTCTTATGATTTTCAATATCCATGAGTAAGTAGGGTCTGCTTCAGTCTGAGTGATTTAATTTTCATCACCAGAAGGGGAACAAGAAGCTCCCTGCTGCACAGACTTACACGCTTCCCTCAGGCAGATTTGAAGAATATCTAGGGTGTCCACAACTGTTCATGTGTACACACACAAGTATAATCCTTAGCCAGCAACAGAAAAGGCCAAAGGAGACACACTGAATGGATTTATTAGAAGTCCAAAAGAAGCAGGAAAGTGAGGGATGATGAAAAATAGAGAAAGAAGTTGGAAAAGAAAGAGGTTTTGCTGTGACTTTGCTCAGCTGTCGTCTCTTAATATTTACAGAATCTGCTGTCTAAACAAGCACTCTGCCTCAGCCTGGGATCCCACAGTGGAGTTTACACAAAGTATGTACTTCTGTGCTTCTAAGATCCCTTCATCACAGCCTCAGTCTGTATACAGTCCTACTGCACTGAAGCGCATGAGCCATAAATGGCTCGCCAAGGCGGACCCATTAATTAAACAGCATGTTGTTTGAAGCAACTAAAGGCCCAAGTGACGACAGTAAATATGACCTATTTAAAAGAAAGACATCAAAGAAGGAGGAGCTGTTATCTCTAATAGAGGACAGTTAGATGCAAAACATAGCACTTAAAATCTTTATAGCAGAAAATAATACAAAAAAGTATATCCTGAACTTAGCTAGTGATTGTCTGAATGAACTAAAGGGCCTAATCACAAAAACAGGCTTCATGAGCCAGTATTTATACACCAGCATGTAGAGCTTTGCTGGAAGGCATGGCGAAACAGTTCTGCAATGAACTCACAATTCTCTGCTTGATACCTGCAGCTGTGCACTAAAAATGTTTGAAAGCATACTTGGGTTCGTTTCGAAGCGTTCTGACTTGCACAGCGCAATGCTCAAAGGACTTATTGTTTTAGATTTTGACTTCAGTGAGTGATGTCAGTTTCCTTATGAAACATAAAGCCTCACATATGAAAGCATAAAAAATGTTGGCATGTAGAATCGGAGCGACTTGCTCATCTAACCGAAACAAGTTCACGGGAGTACAAAGTGACTCGACCTAGAAACACTGACAGTAATCATTTATTATATAACTCATCACTACCATTTGTGATCTGTTAGCTGTGCTGAGAGTTGGGTCGCAGAGCACAACAACGAGAGGCTGTGAAAACAGAATAAACCAATCAGTTAAAAATAGCTCCAAAGCTGGCCTTGAAGCTTTCCAGGCGTTGTCTAATTATTTTTAATGAGAATTCTGGTTCAGTTTTGTGTCTGCCGAATTCCCAGAGCCACAGTAAAGGCTATTTGAATTTTCTTTTCATGTTCGCTGCACTGAAGTTTAAACCAGCTGAAGACCCAGCATAACTTTTTCTGCTGAATTTAACTGTTACGGTTAACAAGGGATTAAAGCGAAGCTTTAATTCTTAGTTTAGGAATTTTTCTTTGCATGTGTCAGCGTTGTTTAAGAAAGTAGAGCAACTTTGTGGTGCACTGCCCAGTGAACCTCCTGGTTTGGCATTTCTGTGTGGAGTTCACACCCTGTAGCTCTCCCTCCACGGTCCACTGTGAAGTCAATTAACGATTCTTAACTGGCCATAGCTGTTTATGTGAGAATTAAAGATTTTATGCTTCTCTGAGTGAGCTACAGGTAATGAACTGCCATTTCAATTAGCACTAGCCCGGATATGCAAGCCTAGCTGGATAAGCTTTGAGGAAAACAAGTGGTCTAAGCTTAATTGGTTCAGTTAAATGAACAACTAATACTGCATTTCACTGAATTTTCTTGTAGCAAAGAGTCTTTTGACCACTCAGAGTAGAAAAGTACAATATAAGAACAAGTCAAGGAGTAATATGTCTAGCTTCGAGAATGACAAGCAGCTAGCATAATGGTCTGTTAAGTTTAAGATAGGGTTTTGAAAGTTAGTTGGCTGTATTTAAAATGGAAAAAACAACAACGAATAATTCTGAAGGACTGCAAGTAAAATACAGCAGCCAGTAGCTCATTACTTAGCACCAGCTCCTTGCTTGTATAGCAGCTAGCTTTAGCTTCTATTCAGATGTAATGTAGATGATACTGGAATCCGTAATGCTTTCATTTTGCTAGGTAAATCTGTTTCATTAGTGGATAATAACAAATAAACTAGTCAATGATGAGGCAGGTCAATAGAAGATTTCTACGCAAACTGACGAAAGTGAACACTCTCTGTCTGTGTCTGCCATACAGCCACATTTGCCCTTGAGCAGGTCACTGAACCTGCGACTGCCCTGTTGGAGGTTTTCCGTAGCAGCTGCAGGCTCTCGGGAATCTGTGGCACTGTGTGAAAGGTGAAAGGTAAACTGGGGTTTACCAAGAACAGCAAACTTCGCAAGCCTTCCCTGAACTGTTGGTCTGTTATACTTTAGATGATAGGTAAAGTTTGACCATTAAACAGAAAAACTGTAAGCGGTTCTGCTAGCAAGTCAATTAATAATTAAAGGTAGCAAGTTACTAAGTATTTTACTTAGTATATTACTTAATCACTGCTACTTAAAAAATGCCTGATTCTGCTGATATTCAACAACCAGTTTATCTAGACTTGCATGTCCAGAGCAGCAGTAAACCATGCAACTAGATGAGGAACACTTTCCCCATTTACGTGTCAAAATGTCACAGGAAGCCTCATCAAATATGTGCTTGAGCGGGACTTGTACATTGGTTTTCGCCAGCTCTCTCGCTCTATTTGTGTCAAGCATACTGTATGAGGATCTCAGGCACATTATGCAATTTAACACCAAACAAAACAGGAAAACCAACCTGATCAAAAGACAACACTGCTCCCAGGACACAGAACAAGACAAAAGCCAAGGACATCATTGTGCAAACAATTCCAAAGACATGCATGGTTTATTCCAGGAACTGACACACATTCATGGAAAGTGTCTTACCATGGAGTGGCCTACAATAAATACAGGTAGGTCAGGGTGGCGAGACTTCATCAGGTCAATGTGCTGAAGGGAGTCTCTGATATAAATCTGAAAGTCCTTAATGTTCATCCTGTCACCTTCGCTCTGGCCATGGCCAACTGTGGAAGAAAGAATCAGGAAAGTTTAACACATTATTTAAGACCTTCAAAAACAAGAAAACTTCACATTTTTTTATGAAAAGAGGGCAAAGTAGCATGATACAGGGGTAATTATAAGCCTAGAGTTATAGCTTATAGCAGTTCAACAAGTTGAATTAAACACAAAACTGTTGAAAGGGTAACTGCATGAGAATAAAAGGCAAATCACAGGCATACTATAAAAATATGTTTTACATTTATTCCTTAAACTTTTTAAGGACTGACTGCATCCACATACAATTCAACTCAAGGGGAAGCCTTCTGCTTTGGTGATGAGAGACGTAAAGAAAAATAAAGGAAATGATGGAAAGGGAAACAGAAAAAACAGGGAGAGTAAGAATAAAATGGACTAGTAGAGGAAAAGTATGGGGGAAGAGTTGAAGTGAAAAAAATGATGGTTCAAGACAAAAGAGGAGGGAAAAGGGGGCAAACAAGAAGATGAAAGCAAGAAAAGACGAAAACAGAGATGATAGAAGTGAGCTTGACAGATGGAGAGGAGGGAAAATATCTGAATATGTATGTGCACATCCATATATTATATATATGTGCTGTCCTCAGGCTTTCCGCACCAATAACTGAGAGGTGAGGCTGGCTGCCATGGTAACCACCAACCCAATAACACTAGCTAATAAACATTCACATGTGCATCTCACACCTTCTCTCGTTGGCTCTGTAATGTTGAAAGTGTGTCAGTGTTTAGAAATGCATGCTTCCTATAAAACACTCCAAAAAAGATGGGACGCATTCAAAAAATGTATGCTTATTTTGAATTTCAAGATGTTTTCAAGTAAACATGTGGAAGGGTTTACCACTTTTAAGAAGTTTGTGATGTTTCTTTTTTTTCTTTTTTTCTTTCTTTTTTGTTGTTGTAAAATTGCAGAGCATTGGTGGATGGTTATGTAGATAATGGTTTCATTATCTACATAACCAATACATGACATGGGATTAGAAGAATTCAGAGAAGTCTCAAAGCAAGAAAAGGGCTATGAAACTAGAACTCAGTGGCTACATATAAGCATCCATTATGAGAAGAGTAGTTTTTTACATACATAACCATAAATGCTGAACAGTATGTGAACATTCTGCCATCTTTCCTCTCTAGGGCCCATGCGACCATCCCAGGTAGGCAGGGCAATCCCCAGCAAGTTGGAACACAAGTGTCTACAGGCACTGTCCCAAACTTCCATGTCCTATTTCAGAGGTGTGTCATCTAAGACAGTCCCACAGCATCAAGAGCTTCTCATCTACTCCAGTCCCTGATCCTCTACGAAAGGCATATAAGTTGGATTCTAGAGCGCCACTGCCCGACAATGTCTTCATTTCAGGTCAGTAGCTCCACCCTCCTGAGTAGTTGGACAGTTTACCAGATTCCGCTTTGGCTGACTGAAAATCATATTCAATCTCCTCCTTAGCACAAGCCACGCATGGCTTGAGTTGCAGGTACCTTCCAGCCTTCTACGAATTCCAACCAACCAAGGTCGACAGGACTCTTTCTTTCAGCTTGATGGCTGGGGTCCAGCATCTCATTCGGAAATGGCCACCACTGCAGGCACATGCCCCCTCACAGCTGTAGCTCATCTGAGGTGTGGATCTATTCAGGCTCAATGTCCACAGTCTCCCTCAGGATGCTGTTGAATCTCTGCTGATGGTGGGAGTTGAAGATCTCTGGGGTAGGGGCCTCTGCTATGTGCTCGCAGCACATCCTCAAACTAAATGTTTTGGCACGCCAGGCTTACCCAGCATCCTTCTGCACCACAAGATCCAACTCACCACCAGGTGGTGGTCACCTGACAGCTCAGCTGCTCTCTTATCATGAATGTCAAAAACACATACAATATATCCGAGCTCTGAAATACAGAAAACATCTTTTCCAGGAAAGGGTTTGTTTATTTATTTAGTAAGACAATGCCAAACCACATCACCACAGCATGGGTTCATAGTAAAAAAAAAGAAGAAAAATCTAGGTGCTAAAGTGGCCTGCAAGAAGTCCAAACATGTCACCCAATTTTTCTAAAAAGAATAATATTTCCTTTTTTAAACATCTGATAGCTTGTCTTTTTGTCCTTTTGTTTTTCATCATTCCAGCTTCTTTGGAAAAGGGGTTGTACAAGAGCACGTCTTCACCCTCAGCGCTTTCCTGTCCATCAATAGCATCAAAAGCAATCATCACTGTGTGCAAATCAATGTCCAATCACAGCTTCAGTGATGGAGTGGTGCAAACTTGAGATCAATGCACAGTAAACCACCACCGCTCTATTCTTTCAATGGCTTCTCACCCCATTAAATCCATATCTTCTGTTAGTACAGGTAATAACAGGTATTCCTGGAAAACACACATATCCCCGCACACACCTAACCTTTTAGACAACTGATGGTTATGATAAGGCCATGAGAACATTCCAGGACTCAGATCCAACAAACCGTTTCATTACAAAAGCTGCAACAGGTAAAAAGAAAACAACCAACCCCCACCACCAAAAAAGTCCTATTTCCTCATCCTTTTTGCTTTGAACAAATGTGCATGTTACATACAAAGATTTTAGAAACAGTTATGAATCAGAGGAGAGTGAAAATAATGAATGTCAGCACGGCATTTACAGAATAATTATGAACGGTACCTAAATAGATTCAGAACTTTGTCGAGCTCAGGGAATCTGGGAATTTCTTTCCCTTGTTTACCAAAGTATAGACAAATGGAAAACTGCTTTGCTTCAATGACTTTTTGTTTTCCTGTGGAGGGATCTACCTCTGGTGTGTCACTGCTCTTTTTACCCACATCTCTGCAAATTTCCAGACAGGGAAGGAGACAAACCCTCACACATTTACTGAGAAACACAGCAGGCTTTTGGACTCTCTGTGGCCATAACCAGTCAATAAGTATCTGAAAATGCCTTGTTGCCTCAGTAATATGGTTTACAGCATCGTGGACTTTAAGTTCTAACCTGTGATTCTTGCAGTGAATGAGTCAGGTTACGACTGAGCTTTTCATGTAGGAGAGAGAGAGAGGTCCTTTTTATTAGCCCATCATAGTATCTGCATTTGCATTATGAGATGCAAAGTCAAAAAGCCGTGAAGAGCATTTCTTCAGAGATACCCCTTACATAAACGATTTCCAGTAAGCGTTACAGCCCCCAGAGCATGGCAGATCAACAGATCTCACGCTCTCAGAGATCTAAGATCCAGATCAGGAAGGTGGTTAAAATCGGCACTCACTTGTAATAAAGCATATAAAGATAATAAGAACTACAAAGGTTATTATTAATATTTGCTAGCTACCTGGTTTTTGAAGTTTGCATTTTGCTTTTGCATTCTGTAAATCAGTAACTTTCAAAGAAACAACAGCCATCTGCAGCTTGATCTGTGAATATTGTTAACTGGTAAAAAAAAAAGATGCAGCCTGTTCTAGATAGAAAAAAGAAAAAAAAAACACCAGTCAATGCAGGGTGTGAATGAATGAAAACCTTACCGGCCCATAATTAGAAAGAAAACACAAGAGACAGAAAAAAGGAGAAAGAGTGAAACATCTCATCTGCGAACTCTATCAAGAGCTGCCCAAGGCGATGTGTGTGTGTGTAAATGTGGAAGAAATAGATGAAAAACTGGAGTCTACAGGGACTTGTTCCAGTTCAGTATTTTCCATTTAACAGTGTGACATTTTACTGCGAGGCATTGAACAAACTGCTCCTCTGCGAGCAGCCTCAGCCGTCCTTATCATTCACTGCAGTTTATTATCTGTCAGCTCTTTATTAGGATCTTCACCTCTGTAAATATTTTCACATTTCTGCCACTGAGACTTTTTTGTCATCTCATTCTCACTCTTTTTATGTTATTATGGAGTTTTATTGAGTGCACAGACTGATGTTCAACGGCAACTGCTGCACAGTCACATGGATTTAAACGTCCCTGCTGTATTTAGCCCACGAGCACATCGTTCCTTGTTGATGGAGGCATCGGGACAGACATTTCCCTTTATCTAATTACTACTGACTAACAAGCCATTACCTAATTACTATCGACTAAAAAGCTAACACTCTGTGTCCTTCTCTTTCTACCCAAACCTTTCATTTGAAAGAATTTTACATTTTCTTTTTTAAGTGAACACATTGAACATGTAGTGACTAGATTATGCTTTATAAACTATATCAAGTGCTTTTAAGGTGAAGTCAGTTCCATTTGAGAACTGCTCCCAGATTGTCCAATCCATCTGAATTGCATTCCTCTGAGCTTGGTTATTGGTTGCTGGCATGGATTTCTGATGGCTTTGCATAAAACAACTTTGCAAAGGTGGAAAGTAACGAATTACATTTACATGCGTTACTGTAATTGAGTAGTTTTTTTTTTGTTTATTTGTACTTTTTAAAGTCATTTTTCAAGTCGGTAATTTTACTTTTACTTAAGTATATTTTTTAAAAAGTATTGCTACATTTTCAATCACACCCGTTACTGAGTAAATTAAAAGAACAAACAAACCACCCCCCACAACATTGCGCTTCGGAAATACTGCAGGGAATGATGGGTAGTAGAACAAATTGGCGTTGGGTCACGATAAAGATGGAGTCTGACATCGGTGGTACGGATCCAGCGAAAAAAGAAACCCTGTTGAATTCTGCTGACCCTGAACTCGAAGAAACCGATGTGAACCCCTGGCCGTATTTAAGGGACCATTTCGGCTTCAAGTGCAAGAAAGGCAACAGCTTTATTATAGAATAGAATAGAATAGAATAGAATAATCCTTTAATTGTCCCACAAGGGGAAATTTGGTTGTAACAGCAGCCAGAAAGACACATATACAAACAAATATTATGCAGTGTACGCTGTGTTTGCCCAGAGAGACCGAGTTAGCAGCTTTTAAAAATTCCACATCAAACCTGCGCAAGCATGTAGAGGTAAGTTAAATTAAACTTGTACATTTATTTTAGCAAAAAGGCTGTGCTCAAGTTAATCACATTAAGTTAAGACATAAGCTGTTATTGGGTTATTTTTTTCTCCTTCTCTTTCCTCATGTTGTGCATTTTCCATTGTTATACCTCTCTGACCTGCCTTCCCCATGTGATGTTTGTGTAATGTACGTATGGTCAGAAGGGTAAGATGATGCTGGCAAAGGTCGGCAGCCTTAATCCAATTTCCTTCGGGGTCAACCTTCAGGATCAATAAAGTTTTATTGAATTGAATTGAACTGAATTGCTCCTCAAAATGAACAGAGCAAGGCCAAGTTTAAAAAATTAAAACACATTTTTATAGCAGCTGCCATACAGCTCAATTCAGTACTTGTTCTCTTATTTGACAGTTTAGAACACATGGTTGGTTTGGTGACCATTATCCATTTTGATGTATAGACTTGCAGTTTAACTGCCACTGCACTTTAATTTGTAAAGATTTTCTTTTAATTAAATAACAACTACTTTGAGATTTATCCCATTGTCTTTTTTGCACTACTCAGAAGAGGCTGTCCTCCTGCTGACAAAAAAGTAACTGTAACTTTTACTCTGAGTACATTTTAAATGAGCTACTTTTTACTTTTACTTGAGTAAATTTTTAGACAGGTAATTTTACTTGTATTTGAGAAAAATTTCAGCAAAGTAATAGTACTTTTACTTGAGTAAAATATTTTAGTACTCTTTCCACCTCTGCAACTATGACTTCAAATATAAGTATCTACACTGGGAGCCCAAAGTGTACCTGGGTTCATTCCTTTTTTTTTTCTTTTGTTTTTGAGGAAATACAACCAAGGTGGTCACTGTAGTCTGTCAACTGATCGTTTCAAACAAGGGTGGAAATGTGCCGTAAATGTTCAAAGGTGTTGATCAGGGAAATCCCAAAAGCTTTCACTTCCCCCGACCAAGTCACTACGTGAGTGATTCCTGAAGTTCTTTTTATGACTTCTGCTCCTAAGTATATGTGGCGATGTCTCAGTCTATAGCAAAGATTTACTGACCTCAGTAAACCCAAACCCACAGTGTATCTACACAATTACAGGCGTCTTTCTCAAAGGCACAACATTTAGGCGCATAATGTTTAACAGGTAAATTTCAAAATATTGGTGGTTACTGTGTAATTTAAAGCACCACCATAGCCAGTTTCTGTGTGTCATTTCACAGTCCACATATTACTCAAAAAGTTCACAGTTTAGTACCATGATGAGCCAGTTTTTAAACTTTAATGAATCCACTCAATCAGCCTTTTCAGCTGATGAACAATTATGGAAAGTCTTCATGATTTTTGATTGAATAGAATGCGTTAAAGTACCAAATACATCTTTTCACTCCATTAACAGCGGCCCTTCTGTGGATGTCAACATGGGAATTTGAAGCCTGTGCAGTTCTATCTATCGCAAGAGTTTCATAGTTTCCTTAATGAAAAGATTTCGAGAGTGCTATTAAGGGTGATCTTTAACAGAGATGTTGTTTCATTAAACCGAAACCCAAAGCCTAAAGCATGCTGTGTCTTGTCTGATTCTTGTCTGGGCTCTTTTCTTTTGCCAAGAGGTCAGTTGGATGTTTCTAAACCACAAGTCACAAGTTTCATTATTACAGCCAGCCTTGAATGTGAAGTTTTCCTCGACATGGCATTAAAACAACAAAGCAGAGAGGCAGTGCCGTGGAACAACAGGGGAAAATGAAAACTAATTAATTCTCCCTGATAGCCTTAGTTCTCCTTAGTGATGGATTTTCTGTGCCAGTTGCTTTGCGTGCAAACTACCGATAAAAAATGAAGGCAGCCATATGTGTAAATGCATGGATGCAAAACAGCACTGTGATTTACGTGTTTGTCACTCACCGTGGTCGTGTGCAAATACCAGCAAGGAGAGTTCTTTCAGTCTCTGTGCCATCTCATCATATGGGCCACAATGTTCCCCAGCTCCATGGGCAATAAATACCAGAGCCCTGAGAGGAAAAAACACACAAAAAAATAGTTTAGCTCTTCACAAACACAGACCTTTATCCCGTTTTTTGTGCAGAACCATACTTCCTAGATTTCCTGATAAACTCCTACACTGACCACTTAAAATGGGGTTAAAGTAGAATTGTTCATGGATGGAAAAGCATCATCTAAATGTAATCTAAAAGAAACCTATTAACAGTAGGATTTAATTCACGCATCTGCCCACCACTTACTTGACTGGATGTGCATCAATGTATTTGCGTACGTGTGTCAAGGGGGGATTGTGAAGCCAGACATTGGGAAAAAATGGCAGATAAAGAATGGCAGATAAAGAGTGGGCAGGCTGTGTTTTCAGAGATAACAGCTATCATCCATCTGCCTGCATGCCTGCCTCAACCAATCCCTTCCTCTTCAACTCAAAACAGAATCAGAGGAGTCCAGTAAAACAAAGAGTGAACCATCACTGCTCATCCATTTTCATCTGTTTCTTTTCTTGCTGCTTATCCGTTTGGAGCAGGACACAAGTTGGAGCCTGTTCTAACTGACAATGAGCAAGAGATAAGGTACACACTGCACATGTCCATCACAAGGATAGCATAGAGACAAAAGATTCATTAGCTCTAGAAGTTAAACAGTTGACAAGTATTTCTACTGCATCCCTGCACACTGTCAGTGATGTGTAACACATTTTCAGAATCTTACACCAACATACTGTTCTTCAAGCATGTAGAGACTTGCTTAACGCCTCCCTAAATATAACAAAGCATCATTTCTTCTTCTACACCCAAATAGACAATTTTATATTTCAAACATTAAAGGTATTTTGTGACATGAGGCTATTAGTTCCTGTGTACTCAGAAAGGGATATCTTTTGCTAATTAACAGTCTAGTCTTCTCCTGTCAGACAAGTTTCTTTTAAAAGGTTTTGCCTCTGCTATCGGTGCATATTAAGCAGTGGAGCGGCACCGAAATGCTCAAGCGTTTTTTTTTTCCACTCTAAGCAGCAGCAGCACTGAGAAGGCTGTGAAAGCTTCAATCAGCAGCAGACAATTAGCCCAAATGTATTCAGAGGGATGGAAAAAAAGGAACCAAGTGAAACAGGAGGAAAGGAACTGAAAGTGTGAGGCAAGCTGAGGGGTGGATGCAGAGGAGTATAATAGAAGATGTTCATCAGGCTTCATTAGCAAATTTCACTAACAGCTCTTTTCCTTGTTTTTTTTTTGTTTTGTTTTTTGTGAGAGAGCCGTCGCTTCGGGCTACATGTTCCTCGGCTCGCAAAAAAAAGCATGTGTGTGAATGACCATCTTTGTACGAGAATAATATTGTGTAACACACATGCCAAGGGGCAGCAGGGGATTATTGGGGTTAGTCTAAGCTAACCGTAAAGACAACTGCATGGTGAACAATAGGATACACGCCCTCTTTGCTAATTTGCTGTCTTTGCTTTTCAAATGCCTCCTATGTCTGTGGGATCTTATCATTTTCTTCCTCTTTCTTCCAGTGTCCTCCGTCTTTCTCATCCTTCAGTAGGTTTTACTGTAGCTTAATGGCGCTTCATCTGTGTAGCTACTGTCTGATGGCAGCTAACAGTAAGAGATGTAAGGATTTAACTGAATCTTAACATATGTTTCTATTCATTCAACAGCAGGAATCTCCAGAAGAATCATTTTCAGAAATATTCAGGCCGCAGTGGTGTGTTGGGTCAGCCTTGCAAAGCAAGCAGTTTCACTTTGCTAAATGTCTTCTAGGAAGAGGCAGGAGGAGTTCGCTTGAATCAATTACTTGCAAATAGTTCAGAAGACTGTGGTATTTTGACATTTGACTCTTTGTGAAATACAAACCTTACCTTTAACTGAGTGGACGAGTTCTTGCTACAGAAGAAGAACAATAGGAGTTTCAATATATCAAATGTTAGTCACGTGCACTTTTGGATAACTGGATTACACGATATCTGGAATTTACACTTTACACTCATACAACTACACGAACCATTCAAGCCATAGGTGCATATTGTATGTCTGAGAAGACACACATGCGATATACAACTTTGAATTGGAGTTTTCACAGGACTCTGTGCAGTCCTGTTGTACGGCCCAGATTGGGTCGAGCTTTAGCTTTCGGACAGATCGGCTCACATTAACTCTAGAATACGTTGGTAGGGAGGAGCTCATAGTCAATTCCGTGACTGCAAGGTGCCCACATGCTGTAGCTGCACAACAGGTCCAAATCATCCACCCTCCACCACCATGAGTTTTTTGCACACAAATGCTATGTTTAATTTTTTGCCAAAAATGGTGCTGTGCACTAATGCTAAACATCTCTACTTTGGTCTCGTCTGTCCACAGGAAAGAAGTCTGTTGCAGTTCTGTATGTTGAATCTGTATGTTGAATTAATGATGTTTAGAATTGGAAGTTTTTCTCTTGATGTCTTGAAAGCTGGAGCAGCTGCAAATGAACTCTAAGCTGTATCCTGGTGTGGCTCATTACACTTGCATGATGAATCTTTTGCATAATGAATTAGAGCTCAGATTATTTCATACATGAAGCTGAAATACTTAAATCATACAAAAAAAAAGACTTTTCTCGCCCCTTCTCATTATTTCTTTTTATTCTGTCTTTTCTCTCATGGGAACCAGAGACCCACTTGTCTCTCACACAGTTTTAGCTGCTGGAACAGCATGGCTTATAACCAGCCTTATTAAAACACTCATGCCTCCCACTGGCTCTACTCAGAGCTACTCTAAACAACCACAGGCCTAAACAAAACCAAGGAGCTAATCCCCTTAACACAATGCTGATGGACTACAAGCAAGATTATAGAACCTACCAGCAGAGCTCAAATTCTCCAGTTCAAATGCAAAGTTAAATCATTTCTGGCATTTTGATGCTCGCAAACAGTAAAACAGAGGACACAAATAAGTCCTTGTACATTTTTCCACAGGAACTCTTGCCACAGGATTATTTATGCTGTCTGGCTCTAGGCATTTAAGCATGTCACAGAGCTTAATCTGAGAAAGCCTCACAGCGATGAAATGTCATTGGATTAAAAATAATGCACAATACAAGTACTATATGGGGTTTGCAGTTGGTGTCCTGTCAAGTTCTACATTTTCTTGGTTTCTTCCACAACAGTGGTCTATATAGAGAGCATGCCTTTTGCACAACATGAGATTATTTTTAATGCAACAGGTGACTGGAAGAAATCCAGGATCCAAAGCACCTTGCACTGCTATACAAGTTCTTTAACTCTGCAGCATGAAATGCAGTGGTAGAAGACACACAAAGACTGCATTGTAACAAGTCTGCTCGATTCAAGACATTTCAGACCTTCAGACTTTCGTATGAGTCAGTAACTTCCAAGGTGACAGGAAGATTTGATGCAATCGGAGCAAAACAAAGTGGATATGACAGAGAAGAACGATGTGACAGGCGGAAAATGACAAGGAGGTTTGGAGAGAGAGAAACTGTGACAAACTGCTATGGAAAGCTACGCTAGAAATGGTGGTGTTATTATAGAAGGTGTGCAAGGGTGTGCTTGACAGTAAAAAACACACACGCAAACAGACAAGAGAGCGACTGCTGTGTGATGGAAAGAAATGGAGGCAGAGAGACTGCAGGCAGTCTCATCAGAAACCCAGTAAACATGGTTGAGACAGCAATGTTATCTTGAGGGTAAAAACTGGTGGCAGTATGATGGCAAAACACTGCAAAGTGCACGTACTATAGTGGTACACCAAAGCTGTCTTTTTACAAAGATTTCTTTTTTATTTTAATTTATTTCTAATACATTAATACAAAATCAAATTTCAGTACAAAGCTAATTTTGCTAAGGACCAGATGTCCACACAAAGGTCTCTCCGTGTACACAGACTAGTATTACTAGAGCCTTGAGAAGGCTCTTTTACATATCCAAATGTCAGTTCTGTCTCATTTCTTGCATAGTGAACCACACCCATGGCTCCTGATGTCAAGATTATAGACTTGTGTTGCAGTGTCAGTGTGTCATCTGTTGAGGGCTGAGGACTGGGCCCCTGTCATGCTCATGGGCTCAAATATTTTTTATTTGGCTTTCTTCCACTGATCTTTATGTTTCTGTGGATTAATTTCTTCCTGACTCTCTTACTCCAGACAATGTTGAAGGCAGACTTATATCTCAGAGGCCGACGCTGCCGTTTTTCCACCAAGACTAAATATTGAGGAGAGACGGTCAGCCGACGGTTATTTAATGTCAAGATGTTTACCGGGAAAGTTTACACCAGTGAAATGAAAACTCAAACCAGAAAAAACAGCTAAATATTTACGGTCTTTAGATAAATAATACTCTTCTGCACTGTGAAACATTTCAAATAAAAAAACGATCAGTTCAACTAAAGAGCGCACATGCTGTTGAAATTCCAACAAATGGTATTAATTTAATGTCAAACAGCCCGTTGTTTGTGAAAGGTTTAAAAATGAAATGTCACAGTACATTTGCCAGCTGTCTACTTTCAAGCAGAAGGACATCAGCTCAGGCATGAGATGCACACGTAAAGCAGGGCTTCATATCAAAAGATAAATGAAGTGAACTGGTCTGCACAGTCAGCGTCCAGTGCAAAAACATCCTGAGAGGAACGACGTTACCATACATGAGTTATGGGCAGCGTGTGTAATAATGGCTTCACATTAATATGTTAACCTGTTCCTCTGTTTCATACAGTAAACAGGAATAAATGAACCACAATTGTTTCACCTTCCACTAATCATGTTACTTTTAAACTGAGTGAGCAGGGTTACAGTTTAGAGCCTGTGCATACAGGTGGATTAACCATTACTGAAACATAAAGAAATTATTTTGGTAATCACCAATACTAATTCAGGACAGCTGTAGCATAAACTTTGGTGGTCTAATAAATTTGATAAGCACTCTATATCAAAATAAAAAGCAGAAAGTTCAACTTTTAACACTAATCCACAATGTAAAAACACTGATTGCTGTAATATTTTGTCATTGGCACAGAGAGTG